ATTGAAATTCCAACAATATACTTCACAGAACTAGAGAAAACAATCCAAAAATTCATTTGGAACCATAAGAGACCTAGAATAGCTAAAGCAATTCTAAGCATCAGAGACATGGCTGGGGGTATCACAATCCCCAACTTGAAACTATACTACAAAGCTACTGTGATAAAAACAGCATGGTACTGGCAAAGAAACAGACCCAAAGATCAGTGGAATAGGTTAGAAGATGCAGAAACCACTCCAGACATATTCAGCCACCTCATCTTTGAGAAAGGAACCAACCACCCTCATTGGAGGAAAGATAGCCTATTTAACAAATGGTGTTGGAAAAACTGGATTTCAATCTGCAAAGATTAAAACTATACCCATACCTATCACTGTCCACTACACTAAGATTGAAGTGGATTAAAGATCTAAATATTAAGACAGAAACAGTAAACTTGCTGGAAGATAAGTTAGGTAGAACTCTTGATGACATTGGCATAGGAAAGGACTTTATGAATAAGTGTTCAGTAGCCTGGGAGCTAGCACAAAAAATCAACAACTGGAATCTCATCATATTGAAAAGCTTCTTCACTGGAAGAGAAACTACCCACAGAGCTAAGAGAAAACCTACAATGTGGAAAGTAATTTTTAGCAGCTGTACCTCAGACAAAGGTCGACTATTGAGGATATATAAAGAACTAAAAAAAATTAAACCTCCCAAATTCAAAGACCCAATTCAAAAATGGGCATCTGAAATGAACAGACATTTATCAGACAAAGAAGTAAAAACAGCAAATAATTATATGAAAAAATGTTCAATATCACTCGTCATTTGAGAGATGCAGATGAAAACAACACTGAGATTCCACCTCACCCCACAAAGAATGGCTGCTATCAAGAAATCAACCAATAACCAATGCTGGTGGGGGTGTGGATAGAAAGGAACCCTTCTCCTTTGTTGGTGGGAACGTAGACTGGTGCAATCACTGTGGAAATCAGTATGGAGATACCTCAAAGAACTAGGACTACAGGTCCCATTTGACCCAGCTATTCCCCTACTGGGAATCTTCCCCACAGAATTAAAAGAATCATACCACAGCAATATATGTGTACCTATGTTTATAGCAGCACAGTTTGTAATAGTTAAAGCTTGGAAGCAGCCCACGTGCCCATCAACTGGAAACTGGATAAAGAAGATGTGGTTTTTAAAAAAATAAAATAGAGTACTATTCAGCCATGAAGAATGAGAAACTAGAGACATTTATAGCTAAATGGATGCATATTGAGGTCATACTCTTAAGTGTGATAAATAGGACATCGAATAGTTTCTCTAGTGTGAGAAACTGAAAGTGTAGAGAAAGATGAAAATGATTAAAATAAATAATTGATAATTTGATATAGGAAAAGGTTCAAGAGTTTGGGGGTGGCAGGATGGGAAGGGGAAAGGGAAGAAGAAAAGGAAAAATTATGAGTAAGAAAAAAATGGAATCAAAGTCTGTGTAAATAGGGAAGGGTGGAGGGGGGTGAAGGGTGCACAGGTAATGGGAGAAAAAATAAGAACTAAGATACATCATGTTCAGGTACAAACACCCAATGATAAATGTAAATGCATTGTATACCTAAAATGTACCAATAAATATATAAATAAAAGAAATAAAGTATAAGATCAAAATTTTTGTATATTCACAGCATTGTGTCACCATAACTATAATGAATTTTAGAACATCTTTATCACCTGAAAAAGTCCACATAAAAACATATACCTTTTAGCTATTAGTGCATAAATTCCCCTTCCCAGTCTCAGACAATCAATGTACTCTCTTTGTCTCCATAAGTTTGCCTATTCTGGATATTTCATATAAGCAGAGCCAAATAACGTGTTTTTCATTTAGCATAATGTTTTTATTTACCATCCATATGGTACCATCCATTAGTAATTAATTCTTTTTATTACTGAATAATATTTCATTGTATGGCTTTACTATATTTTGCTTAGCCATTCATCATTTGGTAGAGATTTAACTTGTTTCTATTTTGGCTCCTAGAAAAATACAAACATTCAAGAACAACTTTTTATTTATCATGGAGATATGTATCTAGGAATAGTATTCCTGATTTAAGTGGTAACTCTATGTTTAACTTTATGAGAAACTTCCATCTTGTATGTTAAAACCTCAACATTTCCGAAAGTATAAGTCAGTGTTGTGTTTTGTTCCAGAAGCAAATTTGCATTTGTAATGTTTCTGAAAACAGTGTAAGTTACATTTATGTATAAAAAGTATACATATCTGATGCTGGATTCAAAGTACCTTCTCCTAGGGAACCCAAAAATATAAGAATGGCATGCTGCCTTATTGCAACAGGATAAGTTAGTTACTGAGAAGTTTGGTTCTTAAGCAGTGATAATATGGTTGGAGTTTATGTTATGACAGATTACTTGTATCCTCCTCCTGACTTCAGGTGGCAGGAAAGGAAGATGATGGTCCTACTGTGTAAAGAGCACAAAGAGTTCCTAATATCTAAAGTAGAAATCTGCATTTGTTATAAACTTTGTTATATCACTAATAAGTAGATATTATACTGTATTGTTCACAAACCACTTTATCATTTTAGATTTGAACTATTCTAACCTTTTATAGAGGTTACATGGATAATTTTACAAGTTCTCTCAGTGACTTTCTTTTATAATTAAGAACTTACTAAAATGAAAAAAAAAAAAAAAGAAACTTCCATCTTGTTTTTGTAGTGACTGTACCATTTTACATTCCCACCAGTGGTATATTAAAGTTTCAGTCTCTCCATATCCTTGTCAATATCTGTTATTGTTTGTCACACCCTTATTAATACTTATTGCAGTCATCCTGGTAGATGTGAAGTAGTATCTCATTATATGATTGGTTTGCATTTCCTTGGTGACTAGTGATATTGAACATCTTGTCATGTTCTTTGTTGGCCATTTGTATATCTGTAATGGAAAATTATTCAGATCACTTGCCAGTTTTTGTGTTATGTGCTTTTATTATTGATTTGAAGAGAGTTTTAAAAATGTATTCTAGATACAAGTCTTCTGTCTGATATATGATTCTCAAACATACTTTTTAATTCTGTGAGAAGTAGTATTTTTATTTTCTTGCTTTTGTCTTTTGGTGAACAAAAGCTTTTAATTTTAATAAAGGCCCATTTATCTAAAAAAAGACACATGGAGAAGATTATGTCTACAAGTCAAGGAGATAAACCCTCAGATGAAACAAATCCTTCAACCGACATCTTGATCTTGGACTTCTAGCTTCCAGATGTGGGAGGAAATGAATGTCTATATCTATTTTAGCTACCCAGCCTATGGAACTCTTCTATGGCAGCCACAGTAGAAGAAAACAGACACCATTAGGCAGAAAATGTGGAACTACTTAGAGGAAGAGACTACAGAAGAATGTGTGTTAAGACACAGATCATGGAGGAGGAGTGAGCAGGGTGGACAGAGGACAAAGTGAGAAACCCCACTGAAGATGGATAGTGGATGAGAATCTCCTTGAACACTGTTCCCATGCCCACCTCAGATGGACTCCATGTCAGACTTCACATCCTTGGATGGTGAGCAGAGAGCACTGAGATTACAGCCAGGTTGCCCTATCAGCCTCCCCTGAGCTCACTTGGTTGCCTTGGGAACATTGCCTCACCTCTTGGAGTGTCAAGAACTTATAAAGATTTAAATAATGATCCTCCTATAAAATATTTTATTATAAATATAAGTAGGTAAATATTATAAAATGTGAGTAGGTATTGTTTGAAGCATTCTTTGACAATGCCTCTGCTCACCTACTGCAGGTGATAGATCCACAGAGATAGTGATCATATCTCTGGTTCTGTGCTCTCAGTGCCCTATCCTTACTTTCTATGGGAATGCCTATGTTAATTTGGAGTCTCTGAGATCTAGTGGTAGGGGTGGCCCAGGGGCAAGGAGAGAGGATTCTACCCTAGGGACAAGCTTACCTGTGAGTCTGAGCAGGAAGGACAGCAACAGGACAAGACAAGGAGGCTGGAGCTGGGAGGCAGGGATAGGCATCATGGAGGCCCAAGGAGCCTTCTCTGTTCCAGTGTCTTTGCTAGGAATGTGACAGACTTTGCTCTGTGGAAATTAGAGTCACCCTGCCTCCCTCCCTACAACAGGAAGTGGCTCTGATGTAGTGAAATAGCAACTTCATTCAAGACTGTGAAACTGAAATCAGACCACACAGGCAGCTACAAGGCATGGAGTTACTCTTGGTACATTTTTAGAGAGACCTGGGTAGGTCTAACAGAAACAATGCTTTCTCTCTGCCTTGGAGCTTCTCTGGCTCCACTTGGCCATTCCAGCCATTTTGAGATGATGTTGACTCCCTACTTTGAAGCGCCAGGCTAAGAAGGTTGTGCTTCAAACTTCCATCCCGAGACCCACCCAATTCACTCCACAAGCTCAGCTACAGGCTACTGAGGCCTCATTAAGACAGGATAGGGTCAAATTTTCACCCTCTGCAATATTCCATTTGCAGAAAGAGATGGATCGTCATCTGTAGTCTCTTGCATGATAGCAGGTATCAGAGGAGGTTTACATCTTCTAGGAGCCTTGGGTATATGAAGACCTCCTAAAGATTAACTATGTTAACAATAATGGGAATTTATAGACTGTAGGAACAACACTGTTGATCACTGTACACCATGAAGTTTTGTGGGTTTTTACTGCTTTCTTTTCCCACACCACAATGTCCAATCAACAATCATATATTACCAAAATGGAATTTAACCACTAAGTGGTTGTATCATCCCTAACAAAAACTAGAGCATTTGATGATAGGTCCCTAAAATGCCTCTTCTGTGTTTCTAAGACACTTGCAAATTTTAAGCAAACAGTGACCAGAATGTCAGGATAGACTTGCCAGAAAGATTCTGGGAACTGGGCAAAGTAGTATAGAAACTGATTTCCTGCCCATATGATAAGTCAGCTCTTTCTTAGAATGTTGGGGTTACCATGGAACAATTAAAACTAATGTTGTCCTTCAATGTAATTTACTTTATAAAAACTCCTCCCTGCAGTAATTCAATATGAAACAGAGCACTGTGGAATGCTGTAGTCCAGTTGGCTGCCACTGGATACTTTCACTTCTCTGTTGTGATTTCCCTATCTTGTCCACAGCCACTAGACCTTTTCGAGATTTTCTGTCTAGCCTCTGGCCACTGAACATTCCCAGTATGTTATGGAGACTTTCCTGTCCAGGTTACCCCCCAGTGGAGTCTATCCTTTTATGCTACTAATTCTCAACTAACTGTATCTTTCCTGTTGATACTTTAATAAACCTATCTTTCACACATGACCTCTACCCATTCATCTTCCCAGTGAGACAGAAGAGGGGCTCCTGACTCTCTCATTTTGTCCTCCTGCTGGCTGGAGGAGGTATGGCCTAGTCAGTGGCTGTGGAGCTCATTCCCTTCATTTCCCTTTCTACTCACTTCTCCCCAGTGTATGGAGACAACTCAACTTGGTGTCCTCCCTGGTTATTTAGCAGCCACTCTCCTCTAGGCTTCTCTGACATGAATGCAGCTTGACTGCCACTCATGGTGGCCCTCCCCAACTCTTGCTGCTTCAGGAGCTCCTGCTATTTTCTTGAAGAAGGTGGTGGTAGGGGAACCCTGGAGACCAAGGTCAATGAAGGAGTGACTTGGGTTAATTGGGTTTTTTTACTTAAATTCTTTAATTGGTACATTTTAGGTACACAACACATTTCCATTTCTCATTGGGAACTTATACCTTTACATGATGCATTGTGGTTC